AGCAAGTAGGGAAGGCTTAGTCTTCTAGATATGAGGGCGTCTTATGAAGCTAGAACAGGGAGTGTTGGCGTAGAGACAAAGACCAAAAAAGCAAAAAATAAAGAGCCCAGAAACCAAGTGTATGCATGGGAACCTGGTTCATGACCAAACTGGCATTATAAATCATCGGAGAAAAGCCAGAATATTCAGCAGACTTTGTTGGGAAATCAGACGTCCTTGTGGGGAAAAAAATTTAAATTCTCCCTCGTAACCTACACAAATATTAATTCTCGATAAATTAAAGACTTAAATGTGCAAAGCAAAACTTTAAAAGTTTTATAAGAAGATAGAGAAGAATGTCTTTCTGACCTGCAGTGAGGTAGGGAAGGCTATCCCAAGATAGAAAAAAGCAGATCATAAAGGAAAACACTGGTAGGTTTGACTGTACCCAAAATGAAGACTTCTGTACAAGCAAACGACAAAGCTGAAATACCGGCCACAGGCTGGGAGAAGACACGTGTGATGCAAATAACAGATGAAGCGTTTGGATCCGGAACCTATAGACAGGAGTCTGCATCAGTACGAGAGTGAAAAGCAACAGTAGAAAAATAGAAGAAGACTGAAGAAACCAAATAAACACGAAAAGGATGCTCCGCTTCACTAAGAGTCGGGGAAACGCAAATTAAAACACGATGCCATCTCAACCTCCATCAGATTGGCAAGGAGCTAATGCTGAAGGAGGGCAAGGATGTAAGACAACAGGCACTCCTGGCTGCTGATGGGAGCAGGACCAGCTGCGTAACCATGGCAATGGTGAAGGTGCAGACAAGCATGCCCAGCGATGCAGGGGGTCCACCCCAGTCTGCTCCCCGGAGAGGCCGCAGCGCAGGACACAGACAGACAAGGGTAAGGCTGCCCACTGCGGCACCACTCGTGAGAGTGAAAAATCAGACACAGCTGAAGTGCAAATCAACAGACCAGTGGAGAACAAGCTGGAATGTAGTTGCTTTTGGGATATTAAGCATCTGTTAAAATGAATGAACTTGATCTATCTGCATCAACAGAGATAAATCTGAAGTACACGATATTGATGTGTAAATATAATGACATTTATACCATTTCTCAAAACACACAAAACCATATTATATGTTGCTTATGGCCACATATGTACATAATAGCTTTAAATGAAAGTTTTCCAATGCGGATGGAAAGGGTAAACATCCACTTCAGGACAACTGGTTACCCTGGGGAGGAATGAGACTAGGAAATCTAACAAGGAATTTAACACACATAACACAAAAATATTTTAAATTACGTATACGCTACATACATTCAACAAATAATTGTTGAATTTCTACTCTGTGCTAGGCAGTTCGAGGTGCCTGGAATGATCCTATGAACAAAAGAAATAAAAGTGCTTGTCCTCTTGAAATTTACATCCTAATGGGGAGAGCCCGGCCGGCCATATATTAATCTACAAACGTGAAATCTATCAGCTCTCTCTCTCTGAAATACATGTAATATCTAGATCTCCATCGATTCTGTAAACGTGAAATATATATAACAATCTCGAAATACACATAATAGATGATGCTCTCTGCTGCAGAACAAACCAAAGCCGGGAAAGGAGCCTGGAAATTCTGGGTGGGGACAGGGGCTGTCATTTTAAGTAAGGTGATGATTTAAATGTTAAATAAGCAGAGCCCTGAAGGAGGTAATGGGTGGAGCCTGGGGAGGACCTGAAGGGCACTGGCAGAGGGGCAAAGGCTTGCGGGGGGGGGGGGGGGGGGGGGGGGGGGGGGGGAGCAGCAGGGAGGATGGGATGGTGGGAAGAGAGGGAGTGAGACACAAACAGAAACATGAGCCGGAGTCTCTGAGGCAGCGGGAAGCCAGTACGGGGATTTGAAGGAAAGGGCGCAGGGCCTACTCCGGGGGATCATGGCAGGCGCAGGGAGGCTGGTCGGGAGGTGACCACAGGAGATGGTGGGCTTGGGTGGCAGGGTAGAGGAGATGGGGTGTGACAGCATTCCGGACGAGTCTGAGGGAGTGCTAGCTGCTAGGATCCCCGATGGCTGTGGGTGTGACAAAGGGCTGGGGCCGAGACCCAGCAACTGGAGGGTGGGCAGCTGGCCCCTGCAGCAGGGGAGACATGGGGTGGAGGGACGAGGGGAGCTCCGCTGGGCGTGTGCTTGGCATGAGACGTCTATCTCACCCGAGCGGAGACAGACCAGGCAGCCGGGTGTGAATTCGGGGAGGAGCCAGGCAGGAGGCACACCGTGGGAACTGTCGGCACCCAGGTGGCACACGGAGCCCTCCCAGCCACTGCCGGGATGGCGGAGACCGCCACATAGAGAGGAGGAAGAGCACCCCGACTCTTAGAGGCCAGAAGGAGCACAGGAACTAGCAAAGGGAAGGTGTTAAGTAAGGCAGGAGGAAACCAGGAGGGGGAGGCATCCTGTCAAAGCAGCGAATCTGGAAGAGAGTGGTCAACGGTGGCAAACGTCACCAATGGTAAGACCAGACCTTTAACGCGATGGGGGCCCCTGTGGCCTTGACAGGAGTGTTGATGGAAGGGCCTCCAGAGCGGAAGAGGAATGGGAGAAAGCAGGCACTGCAGGAGGGCGCTCCTAGGGAGCGGGACACGAGGAGGGCAGAAATGGGGGGGCTGCTGCAGGGGTGTGGCGTCACGAGTGGTCAGTGTCCAAACGGGGCAAATGATGGCAGGGGCAGATGCTGATGGGAAGGATGGGGGTGTGAGTCCTCGCCAAGGTGGCCTGGGCCGGATCTAGTGCCCAGTGGAGCAGACCTTCAGTGGGAGGGGTGACTGCCGCAGCCAACACGGAGCACGGGGCATGGGTGGGACAGACAGGCCGGTGGGGCAGAAGGGCAGTGAGTTCTGTTTCTTTTTTCAGTTAAACAGTATTTGTTCAACATGAAAACCATTCTAAACTCGTGGGCCAAAAAACAGATGGTGCGCAATTTGGCCTACAGGCCACAGTTTGCCAACCTCTGGGCAACTGGACCAAGGAGACACCCCTGGGACTGTAGGTGAGAAATAGAGGGCTGGGGCGGGGCGGGGAGGGGGGGTCTCTCCAGCCACGTGCAGCTGCATGGGAGCAGGTGCACGACAGGCAGACAGATTTAATCAGGATTATGTTTCTGCCGGGTGAGCACAATGACTAACAGGGGAGAGGGGGCGAGGGTGACCCTGGACCAGAGTCCTGGCTGGGCAAAGAGGGCACCCAGGACCAGCTGGGCAGTCAAAGGGCTGGACGCTGGGGTTGGGGCACTGGGAAGAGAGATCTGCAAGGACAGGAGGGGCCGAGCTCAAAATCAGATGATGGGAGGGATGCGTCACTGTTGGCAACAGGGAATGACCTCAGAGTGGGTGGTGGAGAGGGAGTGGAGGCTGGGGTGCTCAGAGGGCCGTCTGTGCATGCTGCCCTCGCCAGCCACAATGGTAGGAGCAGAGACGAGGTCTGCAGGAGGCGGTAGGAGGAGGGGAGGCATCCGAGTGAAAGGTGGGGGTTTCTAGGGAGGAGGGGAGACTAGCACAGAGGCCCTACGGAGCAGGGACACGGCGACACGGCTGCCTTCCATGCCTGGGCTAGGAGGGATGGGGGGCAGGGGTGGGCTGCAGCGGAGGCAGGGCCCCTGGAAGAACCAGGACTCATCTGGACAAGAATAGGTGCGGATGCTCAGGGAAGAGCCGGAGGATTGGAGGTCTTGCTGGGGGCTGAGTTCCCTGAGGCATGGCGGCAGAATTTAGGAGCTGAAGAGAAGTGGAGAGGACGTTGGCCAAGGGGATGCCCAAGCCCAGAGAGGATGAGGAGCGAGCTGGGGGTCTGGCTTCTCTCGCTGAGGCGGGTAGGGGGTAACGGGGTTCTTGCTGACGGGCTTGAGGCTGAGAGTGGAGTCTGTGTTGGAGGGGAGGGCATGGTGGGGGTCTCGCTAGCAGCCACCGTATTTCTGGGCCCCTCTTCGCTCTCACGAATGCCGGGGTGGGAACCGGAGAGCCTCCACAAGGACGATCTAAGTAAAATGAACCGCCCACCGCGGACCACCCGCCCCCCGCCCCCCAGCCTAGGAGGCCGGGCTCCGTGTCAGAGTCCTCTTCTCCATTCAGACTCCGCAGCGCCCTGCTTAGTCATCTTTCTGTCCTCCACTTGCAGCTCTGTCCCTGGAGCCTAGCAAAGTCTCAAAGGACGTCTGCGGAACTCAACTGGCGAGCGCTCTCCTGGGGCACGACCGTGGGGCCGGCTCTGCGCATGCGCCGCTCCGGCGGCCTGAAACCCCACTTGCGATCAAACAGCGAACACGGAAGACGCACGGCATCAATCACAAACGAAACACCGCGAGACTTTTTAGTAACACGGGTGTTCGGACGCCAGGGGAACCCGAGGCAGGTGGGACAGACACGGCGGTCCTGGGCGGAAAGGGTCCTCCCGGTCAGGGGTGGGCTGTCGCATCCCCACACCTGCCGAGGGCTTCACTTCAGTGACCTGGCTTCTCTCACGCATCCACCTGTCCCTCCCTTAACTTTCAGAGGTGCTGCCTGGCTCCAGGAAAATCCGAGGCAGTGATCTCAGGTATCCAGATTCACCTTAAATAAATCTGTCGTTCTAATCATGTTGAAACATGTGGCCAGCCAATGGGACTGGCTCCTGGATGGGGGCAAGGCTGGCTCTTCATAAAACCGGGAAGGAACTACATTTTGTCTTCCACGCACTCCTACCTTCCCTATGAGGGTTCTCCTCCCTCTCCCCCTAATCGTGTGCACTGGCTCTACCTCTTTTCTAAAAGACCAGGTTTGCTGCCTCGTGCCACTCCAGTATTCCCGGAGTGTTAGGGGAACAGGCTACAGGTCATAACTCAACTATTAAAAAGCTTAGATTTAAAATATTCACGTCTGAGGTTTCTCCTCGGCTCTTCCTGGAAAGAAGGTCATGCCCTCCCTGCCCTTCTACTTTCCTGTTTCCACCTGACTACCTGGTGTCCCTGGCCTTCCCTCAGCCCCTCACCTGGACTCGGGTCCACAGGAACATCTGGAACCTTGGGGCCAGGGCGACGCCAGCTGCATGGCTCCTTCCCCTGCTCAGTCTGGGAGAGGACCTCGGGCTTGGAGATGGCGTAGTCTGAGAAGGACAGAAAGGTTAGCTTTTGCCATGTGGTTCCATTCAGAGCTGTGGACAGGCAGCCTGGGAATCCACGAGTGGCCAAGAAACGAAACTTCTAGATTAGTACAGAGCACTGGTTCCCAACCATGGGCAATTTTGCCTCCTAGGGGATGTTTGGCAGTCTGGAGACATTTTTGATTGTCACAACTGGGGGCTGGGGGTGCAGTGCTCCTGGCATTGGTGGGTCAAGGCCAGGACGCTGCTGAACATCCTACACTGCACAGAGTAGCCCCACAACAAACAACCATCTGGCCCCAGACGTCCGTGCCCAGGTGAAGACACTCTGATAGAGTCTCTCCCTTAAGAAGCAATGCATTTCTTCAAACTGAAATATACCGTCATGCCTGGCCCTGTTCCCTTCTGGGGTCACACGGAAACCATCGCAAGAGGAAGGCAGCCCAGGCAGGAACAGCCTCTTGGGGCTACCATGTGTGGAGAGTGACCGTGGCCCCAGGGTCTGAGGGAGCAGACCCTTGAGGCACAAAGACAGCGCTGGCCATGGGAAACATGGTCTGCCCCTATTCTCCACTAACCCAGAGGAGTGTCGCCAGGTATCTTACAGGCCACGTATCTCTGTAAGAAAAGGCTAAAGGAATGTGGGTCGATTCCATCCTGGACCTGAGAGTAGCCTGAGGCTTTAGACTCTGTGTCAGCAGGACAGAGACGTCCGTGCTCCGTGCCTGGTTAGGAGAAATGCCACCACCCTTCTCTGTCTGGCCACCCACGAACTTCACCAGGTTGTTGGAGCTTTCAACTCGGTCACTTGATGCTCATCTTCAGTAGGAGGAGGAGGTAACTCCTTGCATGGTCAGAGTTTCTAGTGATTTACATATTGTTGCGACAAAAACCACCCGCATGGAGAGAGAGTTTTGAGGACTCTCAAAGTCACATGTAACAGAAGAATGAGTATCATGCCTTACCCAGGGACACCAGCGTCTCGTAGTTGCCCCGCATCACGTGCTTGTAGAGCTCCTTCTGCCACTCGTCCAGCTTGCCCCACTCCTGCTCAGAGAAATACACGGCCACGTCATCAAAGGTCACGGGCACCTGGAACAGTGTCGCGCGCGCTCACCCACGCACTCACAGGCACAGTCCCTCGGGCTGTCCCACCCCAGGTGCCTGCGGGATACCTTGGGGGCCTCCCCCTTGCTGCCCGGGGGCAGGCGCAGGATCCAGAAATTTCGGTTCCTCAGCAGGTTCTCCATGTTCTCCAGCCGCCTCTGCAGCAGCCCGTACTCCTGCAGCAGGGTCCCCAGCACGGCCCACTTGCCCTCCAGCTGGTTCCCGAACTCCACGGCCGTCTTCTCGCAGTCGGCCAGCTTCTTCTCGGCCATCCCCGTCCGCCCTTCTAGCGAAAGCAGGCGGGCAGCCTGCGATTCGATCTTCCTCTCCATGGCCTGAATTGTGGCTGCCATCGTCCATGGGGAGATCTTTCAGAAACAAAGAGAAGTCCACCTTCAGTCATTCCATCCACTGCTTTCCTTGAGCTCCTCTCCCCTAGGTGCTGGGGAGCTGGGCCGGGAGGTGCGGAGCTGGGAATGAAAGCGGGGACGCCCTGGGCCACACACCCGATCTCAGCCTAGGATCAGCTCCTCCGAGTAACTCAGACACCGCCAACGTCCGGGCAGGTGCCTTCCCTCCAGGGCTCGGCATGCACTGGCCGGGGACCTCCCGCATCTGCCCGTACGGGCTCTCTGAAGGCAGTATTTCAGCTTTTTGCAGCAGAGTGTGTGCCCATAGAAGGTGCTCAGTGCAATTCTGCTAAATAAACAGTGACTTAGCACTGCTGGGGCGTTTCAGTGGATAAATAGTAAACTGCAGATTTACTAGAGCCCAGCCAGCACCTCCCATCATAATCACACAGGAACTGTGTGATCATCTACGGATGATGACCTAGCAAAAAAAACAGCTGGTTCACTGAACCGGCACAAACATGAGCATTGCTCAACTGCCTTTTCTTTTTTTTTTTTTTAAAGCATCGCTCTCTTTTTAATAAACATAAAAATCAAACAGCCAGTCCCTCTCCCCACAGTGCCATCTGATTCTGTCCCCTCCCCAGTTACTCCTCCTTAAACTAAAAATCACCGTTACTGCAAGTCTCCACCAGCCAAGAGTTAAGACTTTTTGACCCACGTGGCAGGGGTGGGTCAAGGGGACAAAATCAACACGGGTCCACTGGGCCCCCTGAGAGTCTGTTCTCGCACTGTCCCCACCCCTCCCAAGGGGAAAATTATTTCCTGACATTTTTGTAGCTACTCCGGGATCAGTGACACACCTTACAGACTGGTGAGGAAGGTAAAACATATGCCATAAGGTTAGACTTTTATGCGTACGACAACCGTCATAAAGCTTCCCCCAAGCAGTGACTTCCTTCCCTGTTGCTGGAAAGTTCACATGTAGCTTGAGTGACCTGACAGTTGGCAGTTGGAGACCCCGAGGAAAGGGCACATTTTGCCTTGGGTAGGGGCTGAACCACTCGACCCACCCACATGTGAAGGTGGGCCCCCCTGGGTCAGAGAGGAGGTCCAGATACCTGCCCCTTCTTCTGGCTGTGCCTGAGGGCGCACGTTTCCTCACAACATTCTGGAAACTATTCCCAAACAAATGGTTGGTGACTATCTGCAAAACGAAGACGTGACTAGTGGGGAGCAGTGTGGGCTCATTTGGAGAAAGTCACCGAGAACTACAGCATGGGGGGATAATATGAGAAGTGTGTGAGCAGAGGCCAAAAACAACTGTCAAGCACCCTAGCGCTTCTGAGGTTGTTTGGAGGGAGGCCGCACCGGATGACCTATGACCTGAAGAAGGAAGGGCTTTCGCTGGGAAGGAGCCGGATGGGCAGAGAGTTGTTAGAGGGACACAACTGGATGTGGGTGGGACTCCTGCTCTCAGGAGGCGGGTGCTTCTGCCCCGAGGCTGCAGGGACTGTGCTGGGCTGGCACCCTGGGCCACCCTCCACGACAGCCGCCATTCCTTCCCTTGCCCATTTGTCCTTTCTGATCAGTCCCTGCCACCTGACCCCAGCCTCCAAGAGTTTGCTCCAGAAGTCTCCATTCACTTTGTCACCAAGCTCCCCAGCTACCGAAATCCTATTCGGCCCCCGAGTGCGCTTGACTGCCATATGAATGCAATCTTTGCATTGCAGGAAAAGGACACCTGCATAAACTCCTTTATAAACAGTAAGGCACACACAGTGTGCTTACCATTTCAGTGGGCCTTCGCACTATTTAGTGGGAGGTGGTGACCGCTTGTGCTCAGGCCCAGCTCCTTACTAAATGGTGGGTGGATAATATGGGGCTGTCCTCAGACTCCTGCCAGGGAAGTGGAAACCCTATGCTTGAGAGGAGCCGATGGCAAGAGAACTCCAAATCCTTCAAGGACTCCCCACCCATAGGATGAAGTCCAGGCATTAAAACCCCTTCCAACTCTCCCTGCAGCCTTCTCTCCCACTGCCTCCCTACCAAAACCATCTTCTATGGAGCAGGGACTGGATTCTGGTCCTCGAACCCGCTGGGCACTGCCTTCTCTCTGAGCGCAAGTCGACCTCCCTACGGGAAAAGCTCCACTGGTCCACTCAGCCTGATGAAATCCTAGCCTTCCTCAAAAGCCCAGCTCAAATCACAGAAGCCCAGGCCAGAAAGGGGTGCCAGACCCTCCCTCTCCTTCCTCTGCCCTCCCAGAGCACCTTTCTGCCTCAAGGCAAGAACCACTCACCTCCTTCTGTTTCCATCGTTATCACCAGGGTCCCTGTCTGCTTCCCCAACACACAATGTGTCCCTGAATACAGACCAACTGTATCTTTTCACACACTTTCTGGCTGTGAGATCCTAGGCAAGTTAACTTCTCCAGGCCTCGGGTTTTTCTTTTGTATGACGGAACGAGCACCTACCCCACAGGTTTGCTGTGAGGACAATATAATGCCTAACAGGGATGGTGCCTGCCTGCTTCTACAAGAGGGAGCAGCTGTCTTCCGCCCCGGCCTCGATCGAGCTGGGCACTCGGTGTGTGCGGAATCGAAGCCGCTTCGGACACCTCCCAGGTGCCACCAGGCCGCTGGGGGGAGCTGGGGGGTAGGCAACGCTGAGGCAGAGCGGTGGGCAGAGAAAGGAGACGCGGGGTGGGGGGCGCGGACATGAAGGGGCCAGCGGATGGGGCGGGGGCAGGAAGCCGCGGAGGGCTGCAGGAACTCGGCGTGGGGCGGCCTCCGCTGCGGGGTCGACCGGTTCCGCCCTGCTCAGGCTCCGCCGCGAATGGGGGGCCCGGCCGACGGGCGCCGTAGGCCCCGGCGGACCCCGCGCCCCGCTCGCCGGAGCCCAGGCCCGGCGGCCCGGCCCGTCCCGGCCCACGGAGCCCCTCCCCAGGGCCTGCGGCGCCGTGTGCTGGGCCCGGGCCCCGAGTCCGCGCGTCGGTGCGCGCGGGCCGCCCTTACCGGAGCCGCGGCTGCCTCGGCCATGGCCGTGCACTGTCCGGCCCGGCCCGGAGGAAGTCGCCGCCGCCGCCGCCGCCGCCGCCGCCGCGCGCGGCTCCACGCAGGTCGGCCCCCGGCCTCTCCGCAGGCGGCGCCCGCCCGGCCCTGCCTTCCCCGCCCGCGTCGCCGCGCTCCTCGCTGGCCGGCCCGTGCCGCTCCGCCCGCAGACGCGCCGCCGCCGTCAGCGCCCGGCCGGTCCACACTGCATCCTGGGAGCCGGCGCAGGCCCGTGAGGCTTCCTGGAGGCAGCGCGGCCGCACAGCCCCACCTGCAGCCCGGAGAGGCGAACGGCAGGCGCGGCGCCCGCCCCGCCCCGCCCCGCCCCTTGGCCAGCCGACCCACCCACCCGCGGGTCCACCGGCCCGCTGATCCCTGGGTCTCCCCGACCCCCGACCCACCGGCCTCCCGAATCCCCGACCGCCCGACCCCGGACCCACCGGCCTCCAGACCCCCGACCGCCCGACCTCCTGACCTCCCGACCTCCGACCCCGCCCACCGACTCCCTGACCTCTCGATCCACCAGTCCACCGGCCCGCCGACCCTTCCGACACCGTGACTCACTGACCCACAGACCCACCGGCCTCCCTACCCACCGACCCACTTGGATCCACCGGTCCACCCACCCACCGGCGCTGTCCGACCCACGGGCCAGCCGACCCACCAGCCTCCCGACCCCCTGAACCACCGCCGATGCTGCTTGGCCCACAGGTTTCTGGACCCCCGGACCCACTGCCCCCCCCCAACGCTGCTCCACCCACTGGCCCCTGACCCCCCGATCCACTGGCCTACAGACCGCCCTCCCCAACCCCCACCCCGCACCGACCCACCGGCCTACGGCCGGGCGTGCGCTGAGGCACCGCCTGGACCCAGCGCCTGACCTGCAGCCTGCCGCGCCTCGAGCTCTGGACCCCACGGACCCCAAGGGACTCACTTACTAAAAAGAATCTCCCGGCTCCAGGGACCAGCCGGGCCGGGCAGGGTGACCACGGCCACAGCCCCAGGAGACCCGTGCCTTTCTCCCACAGGGCATCCGCCACGTCACCTTTGCTGCTTTAGGTCCTTGCCAGGCAATTTGGGCTTTTCATGTATTTATTTATTTGGACAGCTGTAACTCACGTCTGTCTTGGTTTGAAATGGAATAAATTCTTCCAACAATAGGAAAATAGTTCGGTAAATCCCAGTAGACAGCCACTTAGAACTTTCTGTAATGTGTTTATTATTTATAACAAATATTTCTAAGTGGAATGAACACAATACCATATTTATAATTATTTTGATGAAGAACTTGGTATGGGAAGACGTTCGTGGTATTTTAAGAGGAGAAGTCTGTCCAGAATGATCTCAGTTTTGTGTAAAAGAAAAAACACATGCGCGAGTTTGGAAGCATACAGAGCAACACAAAGTAGCTTCTTTTTTCTTTAACAGTGAGACCACGGGCCGTTTTTTAAACATTTTCTAACATTTTTTTTCAATTCCTGTTTTTATTTTTTAGTAATAAGAACAGAATTTTTAAACAAAAAGGAGACAAAAATTAAATAAATAATTGGAAAAACTCCTTAAGAGGCAAACCCCAGGCTAGCGGAATGAAGGAGCCTTTGAATGGGGCCCCCATGTGGTCACAAAGATGCATCTCAAACTTTCAGAATTTCCTCTAGGTGGGACTCTTTCCTGAAGAGAAACCGGTGCCCCACGTGGTCTAGACTTCTATTGGGCTTTGGGGTCTAGCACGCAGGGGTCTTCGCATGCTCTTTACTTTCTCTCCATCAGCCTGGCCTGAAGCTACAGAATGGGGGTCATCCAGGATGCATTCTTCTCTATGTGTAAAAGTAGAATCTCCCCAGGAGGGGGGGCGGGACTTTACTCTGGAGTGGGCTCCCTGAGCCTGATTTTCTTTTTCTTACTGATGTTAGCCCAGCTGTTTTCGCATGCCCCCAGCTCTTGAAGGTTGCCCCTCAAGTGTGGGGACGGGCTGGGGGAAGGATAGGGGATTGCCAGGTTGCAGCCCATGGCACCCTTTGCCTTTTGGAATAAGTCCCTGAAAGGATATAGTAGACCCACTCACTGTAGGGGAATGTTCCTAAAGCTGCCCATGATCCTTTTCCTATTTTTTTTTCTTCTAGCTTTGTTTCCACGGGATTCCTTCCCCTCCCAAATAACACATTCCCTCTGCCAGGGTGGACCCACGTTTTATGGACTTGAAATGGTTGCATTTTGTATGACTTAGAGAATATTATTAAGAAAAAAAATTCCCAGACCTGCAAATGTAAAGGTAGGCACAGAGCTGGTGCAAGACAGGTGATCTGAATTTTAAGATTTATTAGCTTCCTGGTAAGGTTCTTGATTAAAAAACAAAACAAGACAAAAAACAGCCATGGGAACATACCGAAGCCTGTCTAAGTTGGGACGTGTGCCCTGGGGGTATTGCAGGAAGAACTAGGAGTCAGTGGAATAATGAAAGTTCTGCCACTGGCTGGCGCAGATCTCCGTATGTCCAGTGAGAAGATTGGATGGGGCTGTTCTGTGACTTTCCTGGGCCTGGCCTTCCGTTCACCACCAGTTGGCTTTGACCCAACTGAAGCCCGCTGTGTCTGCTCCCGCTGTGGCCTCTGTGCTGGGCTCTGCGTCATAGCTTGCTTATGGTCTCATGATACCACATGTTGGTCAGTTCCTGGATTACCTTGGAGAAGGGGGCTTCCTCCTTTTCGAGGAAACAGAGGTGTTACCTCCACGGTGATACGGCCCCTCAGGGTCCCAGGGCTTCCGTGAGGCAATGCATCACCTGCCTCACGGAGGGTGTGAGCAGTGTGGGGCAGGGCGCAGCCTGTGTCTTGGGAATGAGTTCTTCCCAGGAGAGAGGAGCTGACTGGGTTGGTTCCTACCTCCAACAAAGCTGCCCCTTCTGAGCAGAGTTGAAAGCCACACCCACAGGTGCTTGGACCCATTCATCTTTGTACTTTCCAAGGCTGGCAAACTGCCTAGCATGCAACTGGGAAGAAAGTGTGGGTGTGCACGTGTGTGTGTGTTATGCGTGTATATACTTTTCTCTGTGTTTTCCAAACAGGGCAGACCTTGTAAAATAGATAAAATTTGACCCGGATCTTGAAGGATGGGCAGGATTTTCATAAGCAGAGAGCATTTCAGACCAGAGGGTGGTAGCAGAAATGTTAGCTAGGGGAAGAGCCGAGAAAAAAATGGGGGTAGGAAGGTACAAAGCATGTTTAGGAGAAACACAGTCATGGTCCCGTTTGGCTAGGACTTTAAACCACAGGGGAAAATAGGCTGAGCCATATTTTGATAAGCTTTACAAACTTTATTCAGGCCAAGGAGCTGGATTCAAGTCATGGGGTTGAGCGTGAATGAGCCAGTTGTGATGCTGATAGGGAGACTGACCTGAAAACGAAGCGTGGGGAGGGTTGAGGGGGATGAGATCAGCCGGGAGGATCCTGCAGAGTCCAAGCGTGAGGTGAGAAAACCTCTGGCCAAATGTAGCCGGAGCGGGAACAGGGAGGAAGGAACAACCGAGAGAGAGCTGGAAATGATATACAATAAGGAGATGATATACAATAAGCTGTAAATGATATACAATGTGAGCAAGAATTCCAGCGAGCGCTGAGCTGCTGCGTCTGGGGGGTGGGGGTGTGGCGCGCGTACCTGCAACAGAAACAAAGTGAATACAAACAGGAGCTAGTTTTCAGGAACGTGACTTAAAAATCCAACTTTTGATATGTGCCATTTCTGGGTAGAAATTGCCTATCCGAGTGGATTCTCAGACCAGCTCCATCTGTGGGAAATCTTGTGAAGGGTATGGATTTCTGGATCCCGTCCCAGATCTACAGAAGCAAAATCTCTGGGGCTAGGTCCTGAGTTTTGTGGTGGAAACTTTTTTAAAAAGATCTATTTTTAACAAGCTTATAGTAGGGGGTGGGTGCAAGGGTGGGGCTGGGGCTCTGATGCACAGCCAAGTTTGGGAAAGAATGACTGGCCCAATCTTCCACCTAAGACAAGAATCCATTGCAAAGTCTCCCTAGCTGGCTCTCCAGCCTCTGTTTGCAAAAAGAGTAAAGACAACCCCTCCCCCCATTAGATTAAACTTTATTTATTTATTTGAGAGAGAGAGAGCAGAGGGAGAGGCAGAGAATCTCAAGCAGACTCTGCACGAAGTGTGGAACTTGACACAGGGCTTGATCTCACAACCTTGAGATCAGGACCTGAGCCAAAACCAAGAGTCAGCCGCTCAACCGACTGAGCCCCCCAGGGGCCCCATTTTTTTTAACTTTATTATTATTATTTTTTAACCTCTCCCCCTGCCCTTAGATTAAAGCAAGACCTGTACCTCTCCCTCCATTTCCAACTTGATGGTGCGGTCTGTCCGTATATGCATCAGAAGCAGGTGTGAGGATTTCCATGCCTATGCCTTTCCTCAGATTCTTTCCTCTCCTTTTATCCAGACAAAGCCCCCTAATCTGTCCCAGACCAGCTCATGCCCTAATTCTCCCAACAAAGCCTTTCTATTCCAATCAAGTCTGCAGTGAACTCTGCCTTGGCCAAGCTCAGAACTTAATATTGGTACCATTCATTTGACACTTCGAGAAAAATGATAACACAAGGTAACGGTGTCCTAACTTGCCTCATAGATTATAAGCTTCTTGACAGCAGTGGCTATTTCTTCTTTCTTGTCTCCTCTACCGTGCTCACTAGGGTAGGTTTACAGAGCATGCAGTAATCCCATAGTATTAATCTTGACTGATTATTTTCTGTGGTGTGATGAGCGAGGGTCTCATGAACTCATCGCTCTCTGCTGGTCCGTTCCCATGCCCACTCCCGTCACCTCCACCCTCCCAGAAAAATCCAAGGTGGGTGGTCATGGATTATCTACAGCTCACCCTGCAGGAGGGGGGAGATGGGTGAGCATGAGATCCTCTGTCAACCCAGGGAATTGGAGAGGCCTGAAGCATGTGGTTCAGAGGGTTCAAATGTAGGGGCTGCTGAGCCAGGAACCCCTGCTGTACTTCCTATGCTGGGGCGGGCATAGTGGTGTGCAGGGACCTCCATTTTTCTAGCTGCTCCCTTAGGCCTAAGGTTTTCTCTTGGGCCCAGGCACACAGCCCAGAATCTCAGTGCTAGGCCTTTCAAAAAGGTTGTGGTAGTCATTATTGCTGGCCACCAAATATTTCTAGTTGGCTCCCCTGAGGGACGTGGCTGGATTGTGTTTCCTGGCCTCTTCTGGTTGGTCTGGTCAATGAGTTGTCGTT